TGTCTGTCTGTCTGTCTGTCTGTCTGTCTGTCTGTCTGTCTGTCTGTCTGTCTGTCTGTCTGTCTGTCTGTCTGTCTGTCTGTCTATCTATCTGTCTGTCTATCTGTCTATCTATCTATCTATCTATCTATCTATCTATCTATCTATCTATCTATCTATCTATCTATCTATCTATCTATCTATCTATCTATCTATCTATCTATCTATCTATCTATCTATCTATCTATCTATCTGAATCTAAAGGAGGGCCCAGATTGTTGGGGGCCATATGCCAACTCTGTAAACCACTTAGAGAGGGCTGTAAAGCACTGTGAAGCGGTATATAAGTCTAAATGCTATTGCTATCCTGGGAGACAGTAGGAAGAGCTGCAGATTAGACAATAGACAAGAGGCAGTCTGTACTTCCAGGCTTGCAAGATTCTGTTAATGTAAAATTGCAATAAAGTTAGAGCTGGAACTTGTGGATGTGCTTCTTGTCTGGATTACCTCACAAGGCTGATACTAAGCTTAGAGCAAGATGATTCTATAACCCAAGAATTCACGATTTGTCCCAAGTGCATTATCCCCATGCTTCTGTTCAAGGCCCAAGGTTCAAGGATTGATGTAAAAAATTATTTATCTTAACATGAACTAGGTAAAAGTATTTAGATTACTACTTTTTGGGGTCCCCGTGTGCTTGTCTGTCAGTATGTATGTGCTGGGGCCTAGGACCTGAGCAAAATTTACAGACATACATGCACATATACACAGAGAGACACATAGGTACGCATGGGTTTGTCCTATACTTTTGGCAGACTGAACTGCTATTTCCTTCTTACCATATTATTGCCAAGAAAGAAAAACAAAGATGGCTTCTTTTTTTTAAAAAAAAGAGATCATTTTAAGCACTGTGATAGGCTTAAGGACAATTTTTATGAAGTCGTGATTAGGAAAATTAGCTGCACCTGGACTAGAGGAACAGAGAGAGCCTATTGTATTTGAAAGACCCATGAGACTTTTCATTGTGACTGGTGGTCCATGACTCTCAAGTCTCCTTCAAGGTGACAATGTCAGGAAGCTTTGCAGAGGAAGTTCCAGAAGAATGACCGTGTGTGATAACAATGAGTTGGACTCTCTGAGAATTCATATTCATAGAATATCATTGTACATACGAAATGGTGGAAGATGAAGGGAAGTTTTATAAATTCTGATGCTTGAAGGCTAAAGATGTGTATTTCTTTTTTTTTAAAATGGTTGTTGTTTAATAATACTTATACTCAGTGGTGGGATTCAAATATGTGAACAACCAGTTCTCTGTGTGGATGCTGCTTCCGGAAGTCCATTCTGGGCCTGGGCAACAAAAAATTAGCTACCGGTTCTGCCGAACTGGTGTGAACTGGCTGAATCCCACCACTGCTTATACTTTAGAACACTAAAAACACAGTTGCTATCTCAGGACTTCATCTATAGCTTTCTTATAAGGTTACTCTACTTTTCTCTATTTTATTCAAGGGTGCATCCATGATCTTTTAACATTTAATGTCAAGTGTAAAAAATCAGGAGCCAGAATGCTTCAGATGAATACAGGTTTATTGTATGCTAAAGCTTTCTGCAAGAATCTGAACTACTAATGGTCAAAGCAAATTGACAGTAGACAAGAGTCAGCTATGGGCGGCGCTTAGATCTATTGTGACCATGAAAGGATTCAAGACTGATGCTTGACCCCTCCCTTGGGCTCAGCCTGTTTATCTCCTACATCTAACTTCATTATAACCTTGTGAAGCAAGTTAGACAGGCAGCAGTCTGGCTATTCCGTAATTCATAAGTTATGGAGGTACTTGGGTCCATAACCTCTTTAGAGAGATCCTATCTCCTGTCCTCCACCACCACCCTCCGCTATCAAACTCTAGTTAAAAGCTCTTACCTCTCAGCAGCAACGGTTCAGAGGTAAAGCTCTCACTCTTCTTACAAGATCTTAACATGGTCTCGGTCGTTGTCATACTCATCACCCTATTAAAGGAGGAAAAACTGAAGATTAGCAAGAAACAAAAACGCACTCCAGCTCTTCCCATTAAGACTAACAGAGGAACAGAGAAGGCCACCACAATGGGACTCTAGCAGTTGCAAAACTTCCTGACAGTTAGAACAATTAACCAATGGAACAACCTGCATCCAGAAGCGGTGAATGCTTTAACACTGGAAGTTTTTAAGAAGAGACTGGACAGCCATTTGTCTGAAATGGTGTAGGGTTCCTGCCTAAGCAGGGGGTTGGACTCGATGACCTCCAAAGTCCCTTCCAACTTTATTATTATTATTATTATTATTATTATTATTATTATTATTATTATTATTATTATTATTATTATTATTATTATTATTATTATTATTATTATTATTATTATTATTATTATTATTATTATTATTATTACACAGAGGAGATGATGGTAATAACCTTGACAGCAAAAAGTAGAGCAAGGCGAAGGGGAAAGATTGGCTGGGGGAGAAAAAAAGACAGATCAGTGAGCATATTTCTGCTTCCCCTCTCCTTTCTCCTTCTTCCAGGTTCAAAGTCTCGCTCCATGGAGTTTGCCCCCCAGATTCTTGACCACCCCTCCAACCTCGTGGTGCGTAAGGACCAACCCGCCAACATGAACTGTCGTGCCGATGGGAACCCAGCTCCCGCCATTGAATGGTATCGCAACGGAAAATACGTGAAACCCAGCAAAGATGACGCTACTGCCCAGCCTACCCTCCTCCCAGATGGGTCCCTCTTCTTCCTCCGCCTCAGCCAGGAGAAGGGAAAATCAGACGAGGGGGTGTACCATTGCCTGGCCAGGAACCACCTGGGTAAAGCCATGAGTAAGAATGCATCGCTCTATTTAGAAGGTAAGGCATTGAAAGATCCTGGAGAAGTTGCAGTACTAGTAACGTCCAGGAAGAAGCCTTGTTCACCCCTCATCCCAGTGTACTGAGCTTGTTTCTTTGAGCCTGTTCAATATGAAGGGATACTACTGTCCTTTCTGTATTGTCTTAGCCAGGACAAAGAGACAGCTATGTGTCAACTGCCATGGTTGGCCATTTATTTCAGGTTCCTCTCCTTGTAATGGAATGCATGGGCGGCCTTGAAGAAAGAGGAGAAGAGATGATGCCTAGGAAACCGTCAGACAAGAGCAGCAGGAATCCCCTGTGCCTTTATGGTCAGAGAAAGAAACTTAGGAAGGACCCACCCTAATTACCTAATGGTTACCTTCCCCTCCCTCTCCCTCTCAAGAGGTCAGCAAAGAGAGCAGGTTGTGGTGATAAAATGCATGTTGGACAGCAGAACATCCTACAAACTCGTTAAGCTGCTTCCTTAAGCTCCTCCTCCTCCTCCTCCTCCAGTTATCCTGTAATGATATATGTGGGAAAGACCTTGGGAGACGGGGCAAATGAAACGGTCAGATAACAGTCTATTCTAATGAAGAGAAGGGCGAGGGGGGACATGATAGCAGTGTTCCAATATCTCAGGGGCTGCCCCAAAGAAGAGGGAGTCAAGCTATTCTCCAAAGCCCCTGAAGGCAGGACAAGAAGCAACGGATGGAAAGTAATCAAGGAGAGAAGCAACCTGGAACTAAGGAGAAATTTCCTGACAGTTAGAACAATTAACCAGTGGAACAACCTGCCTCCAGAAGCGATGAATGCTCCAGCACTGGAAGTTTTAAAGAAGAGATTGGACAGCCATTTGTCCGAAATGGTATAGGGTTTCCTGCCTGAGCAGGAGTTGGACTAGATGACCTCCAAGGTCCCTTCCAACATCATCATCATCATCATCATCATCATCATCATCATCATCATCATCATCATCATCATCATCATCATCATCATTTAAGGGGCAGCATAGCTCACAATTGGAAAGTGGACCTGTCTCAATAAAGCAAGCAGTTAAAATTGGAGGGCGGGGAAGTTTGTACTTTCAGGCTTGCAAGATTCTGTGCAATAAAGTAGATTTAGCTCACCTAGTCATGTTTCCTGTCCGGTTTACCTGGGGAGGCCACTATCAAACTTGCAAGTCTGAAAGTACAAACTTCGCAACCTCCACTTTTAGCTGCTTGCTCCATTAGGGTGGATCCTTCCTAAGTTTCTTTCTCTGCCCGTTTAGCCACTGGGGGCTCCTGTCTTTCTTCTCTGACGTTTCCTTAGGCAGCATCCCTTCTTCCCTTTCCTAAAAGGTCACCCATACGTTCCATTACCAATTTGTTTCTTCCTGGGCCACAGAGATACATAAGAAACTGGAACTTTGGGGCATTTCCTTAATTTAAGTGTGCATGCTGGGGCAAGAACATTCCACAGAGGCAATCAAGCAGCATCTCAAGGATACCGGCAATCGAGCAGACTTCATGTCCTTCCCCAAATATAATTTTTTTAAAGTAGCCCTCACATGTCCTACCGACCTGCTGGATACTTAAATCAAATCACTGCTCCTAAACTAAGCCGGGCCATGATCCTGACACAGTTTGACACATCAGGGGTTTTAGGGAGGAGATACAAAGGGATTGCATTCAAATCCTGAGTCTGCCCATATGGTGAAGGAGCCATCCAAACCATCACATGTGCCTGACTGTGCTGTCCATTTATGCTGTGAGTTGCTAATTCTACATTTAATTAAATATCCTGGGGACACTGACCTGTTCTGTTTAAACCTCTTACTGTCAGATTCCAATGGCTCTTATCTCTTTAAGTGTGGCTAAATTCTGCAACATGATGTGTAAGATGCGGAGCAATCTGGCTGACAAATCTGTTCATCTAGCTGACTAATCAATATTAGTTAGGATAATGGATTTGGATGGTGAGATGGGCAGCACATATATTCAATAAACAAGCAAATAAGTAAATTTTATGCATCCAAGTGTTTTAGGGACAGGAAATTCTGTTCTGTTCTATTCAAGTTGTCACCTTCAATCTCAGTGTTCCCCACGGCAGAATCCTGTCTTAAGAAATGAATCCAGCATCAGATTTTGGCCCTCCCTGTTCTCAGGTTTGCATGGCTGGTTTTTTTTCCCTAACCTTTGTGGTTTTTGAGATCCAAAGGTACTATGTTCTCAATTAAGCCCTGCCAATCTGCAGCCAGGAGGATTCTGTGCTTGTGGAACATGTTGAACCCTAAGACAAGCCATTAAAGCTATTTCACTTCGCTAGAGAACTTGGGAGCTGGCTAATTAAAATATTTGCTCATTTTTGCATCTCATTTGCATTTTCCTTCTGGGTCCTTGTTAAGCCACAGGAAGATGCTTTTTGTGTCCAGGCCCTGCATGTGGAACTCTCTGCTCCAAGAGAGGACTTGCCATCCTACTTTAAAATGAAACGAACTTTGAATTCGGTTCTTCAGTGGAATCAGTTTTCTCTCTCCACATCTTTATTTGAGCAGGTTGCTTTTTTTTAGATTTGTTTTTTATGTGGCTAATAAAATAAAACATCTATTTTGTTTATGTGGCTTTTTTTTTTTAAAAAAAAATCTGCTTTAAGTTTTATGAGCCACGTTGTGGGTTGTTTTCTCCCCCCTTTTGGAATGAAGAAAACAAGGTAGCAATTTCTGTAGAAGTAAATAAATAAATAATGCAGAGGCCTCAGGGAGAGAGTAAGCAATGCATCAAGAATAATAATAAGATAAATCAGTTGAAAGAAAATAATTAAAAGAATAATTGGAACACAAGATATGGGATGTATTCTCTCTCTCTCTCTCTCTCTCTCTCTCTCTCTCTCTCTCTCTCTCTCTCTCTCTCTCTCTGTGTGTGTGTGTGTGTGTGTGTGTGTGTGTACATGTCTGTGGGTCTCTGTGCACTAAGCTATCATACTTTTTTGTTTCCTTGCAACTAAACACAACCATATATGCGATAAGGGCTGGATGCCAAACAGCCCATGCTTATTCTCAATCCACAACATTTTCTCTCCACCTTGGCATCTAAAATGTCTCCCCTGTAGAGTTGTGCAGCTCAAATTATTAATGCAATTAGAATTCCTCTTTAATAAGCAGGCCTGGAGACTCTCCAATTAACACTTCATTACTGATCAGATTCCCTTCGGCTCCCGTGGTCCGTCACGAAGGCTCACGGTGGTGTTTGTCAGCTATAAATATTCATACAAGTAAAGATGGCTTGGGAGAGGCTTCCGCTAGCCAGGCTCAATCAAGTGTGCCAGAAGAGGCTGCCTTTTTGGTACATTTCTCGCAGCGAACTGCCCCCTCTGGCTGGCTGTCAGGCCGAGCCAGGAAAGGATGCCAAACAGGTGCTCCAGGAGTCAGCAATGGTGGCATTTTCTTTCCTCCAGCTTCCTTCTTGAGGCGCCCCTTCCAAACAAAATCAGCAGGGAAGTAGATGTTGTTTTGGCATTTTGCTAGAAGTGTGAATCTCCCTCTGAGCAAATTGGCTACAAATGTGTGAAAACTGGGATGGGTGGATCCTAGGCTGGAGTATTTCAGAGAGCAGATACGAGAACACTGTTTCATGTATCCAGACTTTTATTTTTTTTTTAAAGTGCCACTTTTTAGCTGTCTCAGACATTGGTTAAATCATGCGGGCTGAGAAATTCTGGGAGTTGAAGTCCACAAGTCTTAAAGTTGCCAAGTTTGGAGACCCCTGGGTTAAATCCTTAGCAAAAGGTTGGGAGTACTAACTTTTTATGTAATGGTTACTCAGATGCAGAGGTTTTGGTTTGCCCCCAGAAGTTTAGTCCCAGATGTTTCTCAACCTTGACAATCTTAAGACGTGTGGTCTTCGACTTCCAGAACTCCCCAGCTGGCAAGCCCCCAAGCCAACTGGGGAATTCTGGGAGTTGAAGTGCACACATCATAAAGTTGCCAAGGCTGAGAAATACAGCTTTAGAGGAATCAGTAGCTTAGCATTGCTAAGATTTCTGCTTGACACGTTAAAAAGCTGTTCTTAAGATCCTTCAGCTTCCCAGCATGTTCTCTAGAACAGGGCTTTTCAACCAGTGGTACGGGTACCACCTGTGGCACATTGGCACCTTGCAGGTGGTATGTGACCCCTCTAGAAAAGTGGTAGTGGGGGAGGGGAATGAGGTGAACCGGGGGCAGCACCGCACAAGCCTAAGCAAGCGATGGCTGGAGCTGCAGGGCTGTCAGGGCTCAGCAGAAGTGCCAGGATCAGCGCCAGGCTCCAGCTGGAGCTCGGCACTGATCCTGGTGCTTCTGCTGAGCCCAGAAGAAGCACCAATCAGCTGGAATGTTGCAGCATCTCCAGGGTCTTGTGATTTACATTCAGATGCTTGGCAACTGATTCATATTTATGACGGTCACAGTGTCCCAGGGTCATGTGAAGTGACCAAAACCTGCTGCAACCACCCAGCAGACGGGGGGAATAAAAACCAAACACCCCCCACCCCACCCCTGCTGCCAATCCTCAACAGAAATGCTCACAACAATGAAAACCTTTGGTGTCTTGCTTGGCTGTGGCTTGGGGGGCACTTTTTTCAGTGCCATTGTAACTTTGAACAGTCACTAAGCAAACTGTTGTAAGTCGAGGACTACCTGTACTTTATCACTTTTTTCCTTTTTTTTTTTTTGGGTCATCAAGTTTTTGACACCTTGCTAGGCGACTGGTGGTACTTGGATGTTGCCATATCCTAAAAGTGGTACAATGGGTGAAAAGATTGAAAAGCCCTGCTCTAGAAAGCCATTTTTCTCTCTCTCTTTTTTCCCTGAGTGCTTTTCCAAACAAAACATAGATGGAAGCAGTCAGTTATTTTCTAAAAATACCTAGGAGATTTATGTCAGGGCCAAAGGCATTCTTGAACATAAAAAAATCATGCTGGACATTCCTGCTTTGCTTTTCGGTATACTTGCTTCCGTTTAACGTCTCTTTTTAATTAACATGATTTTTAAAACCTCCGGCTGGAGCGGTCTAAAAATATCTAGGAAGAATAATATCCGAAGGTAGGAACCCTGCATGTAAGCGTTTGACTCATCTCCTGGAGTTTTGATTGTATCACAAAAGATTCACATCCTCCATGGGGAACAAATGCAGGAAACAGGCAACATTGAAAAGGCTGAATGGCAAAGGATAAAGAATTCCCTGTTTTTCCTCTCTGCAGGGTTTTGCCTTCAGATTGCCTTCCCAGTTCAGGCTGTCAAGGCAATTATTATCTTTAAGGGAGACAAACCAACTAAAGCATTTTCCCATCAACAGCTACTCCAGCTCTTATTTCATTACTACAGGATGTTGTGAGGATGACCTCCAGTGAGGTAGTCTTTTTAGAGGGTTCACTGAAAGGAATTTATCTCTCCAGAAAGGCTCATCCCAATGTTAAGGACAAAGTCAGTTGATTGCATCCTAAACATGCTAAGCCATGGTTTGCTATGCAAACCATGATAGCCTGATGTACACAAATTTCAAGCCATGAACCCCGATTTCCAAAATGTCTGAGTTAACATAATTCATTGGCTCTTACTCAATAAGATATGGTTAGCATAAAGAATGATTAATTATTATGTATAAATACATACCAAATGTATTTAAAACATCAAATGTCTAAAAGCCTCAAGCTCTACTATCAAGTAACAGGAACTATATCTCTTTAGAATTAAAACAGGATGGCCCTGTGGAATTAGTTTTGGGTACCAATTAATCTTGTGACAGTTGTTATATTTTTGCCATTTTTTTTCAAAGTTTAAAAAAATGAAGCTCACTGGATATCATCATTGCCTACGGGGTCATTCTCAACTGATAAGAAACTATTCTGGAATCAAATGACAGTCTTGGAAGGCTTGTTCCAGTTACTTGGCCGCTGGTGTCAACATCGTTATTCTTCTACAAGTTTCTGAGAATGAACTAAAAATGGGGTGGAAGGATGAAACTCTACCTATCAAAGATTGTTTTTGGATGCTTTTGTTTCTTTATAGTCCTAGAAGAGGAATTCCGGCTTCATCCTAATGACTTGAAGGTGACAATTGGGGAACCATGGTTGTTGCAGTGTGTGCCTCCACTGGGACATCCTGAACCCATCGTCTCATGGAAGAAGAATGGAGTGCCCATAAGCCCAGAAAATGGCCATTATGAGGTAGCCAAATTAGTACTTACTACTTATTTTAAGCAGCATCTAGATTTAAGTATCTTAGAGACTTAATAGCCAGCCATCAACACCGCAATCAACAACTAAACAACAACTAAAAAGCTAAACACAACAAGCACCATATAAATACTACGCATAGAATAGCCCAAAGGACACATTCTGGTAGAGAGAAGATGGCCTCCAGCATGAGTCTCTGAAAGCTCAGAAGACTGAACCTCTGGCCCAGATTGGATCCTGCAACTTCTTGAAGTCAGTGGGACAAATTAGCCATGATTAACAGTTATAGCAGACATATAGAAATCAATGGGGTTTAAGTGGTTGCATTATCACATTGTACAAACTATAAGCACAAGTTAACAAAACACCATGGCTTTCTAAATGATGCTCTCATAGATGGTTTAAAGCAATAGCCTGATTCACACAACATGTTAAGACAAAGGCAGTTTTGGGAGAGGCTACAGAGGCAACTTTGGAGATTGTGCAACCTTAAATAATAGATTGTGTTCTTCTAATTTTGAAAATAGAGAGAGAGAGAGAGAGATTGCTAAATCCTAAACTTTCCTTCCCCAAGACATAGAAAAATGGGGAGGTTATTTTCTTCAATTCTCTAGCAAGGTCATTGTCTCCTCTGATATTCCAGTCCTTCCTTTTTTGCCCCCCCCCCCCATTTCTGCAGTTCTCCAAAGAAAAACTTCTGGTAGCCTATGCTCAGAAGAGTGATGCAGGAACATATACATGTCTGGCTGTCAATCAAGCAGGGGAGCAAGAGAGCAGAGCAGCCACAGTCACTATCTTGGGTAAGAAAGTCCACAGTGATTAGAGTTCACCTAGGCTTGGCTTTGCACTTGGAGAACCATTCTTTAAGATAGCTTGGAACAATGCACAAACACCTCCTTGAGGTGGCACTTACTGACACTGATGACTGTCAGGTTGCCCAAATGGGATTGAGGAAACACTCTGCTTCTTCCATTGTAGAAAGGCCAACATTCATTCGGAAACCCAGTGATGTTGTAGCCAGTGTTGGCAGCAGCGTTCAGTTCATTTGTGGAATCCGTGGAGACCCAAAACTTGTTGTGCAGTGGTACAAAGAAGATGGAGATCTCCCTTCAGGGAGGCAAGTATAACTTTCTAGTTGAGTTCCAATTCTCCAATTCATCTTTAGAGTTATAGGTGAGACCAACGATTCTACAAATATTCTTCAGAATCCACCACCATGGCTGGATATAATTCTCATGCTTTGCCCTTGGGGTACCTAACTCTTGTCAAATAGGTTCATATGTAAAAGATGGTGATAGGCAGGACTGGTTCTGTTTACTTTATCATCATCATCATCATTCATCTCTCAAGAAATTTAGAGATTTTTCCTTTGCCATTCTATTCTCACAAGAATTCTGAAAGGTAAATTGTGTGGTGAGATATGTCATCAAGCAAACTTCACTGGAGAAAACAATGCTGAGTATTATTATCATTTTCATTCCACATATCCCTGCTGTTTCTTTGTAAGATCAGAAATGTTTAAGAAGATCAGACCAGAAAGTTACTACAATACAGAAGAAACAAACGAACAAACCAAAATTCGCAGCAAGCAAAAGAAGAGAGTCCAGAGAGCTTTTTAACTAAATGGAAACAATGGGGTGTCGTACGGCTCTCCAGATTTCTTCTAAGGAAACCTTACTCCTTGAAAGAAATCTTCATCAATTTGTGCAAACATGAATAAAGAGTTAGAGGGTGCCCCCCTCCACACCACTTCGTATCTTTCCTGGTGCTGCAGTGCTTAGAATGTGTATTGCTGGCAAACTCTGCCTACAGCCTAAAGTTTGATTCTGACTGGCTCAAGATTGACCCAGCCTTCCATCCTTCCGAGGTCGGTAAAATGAGGACCCAGATTGTTGGGGACAATATGCATAATAATTCTTTGACACCCAGAGAATGCTTTGGAGCGATATGGAAGACCTAAATACTATTACTAAATTCTAAATCACATATTAATAGACAGGGGTAGGCAACCTTGGCTCTTTTATGACTGGTGGACTTCAACTCCCAGAATTCCTGAGCCAGCCATGCTGAGGGGAAAGAGAGAGGTTTCCAAGCTGAGCCATGGCTGGCTCAGGAATTCTGGGAGTTGAAATCCACGACTCATAAAAGAGCCAAGGTTGCCTACCCCTGTCTTAGGAGATGTCCAGTGAAGTTTGATAGATGTGCAGATTCATGGGGGACCACATAACATTGCCATTCAATGCATTATCTATTTTTTTTTAAGTATTCCTGGGAGTGGAGGAGAATCACACAATGTATTATTGAGTTTTTGAAAGAATTCCTAGGAAGTGGGGAGGGGAGGAATCAATCTGGTTTTTTTCTTCTTTTTATGTAAATAAGGTCACTGTGGCCAACTGAGAGTTCTGGACGTTTCCTCACAGGTATGAAGTAGACCAAGAAAATGTCCTTCAGATTCACCACCTGACAATGTGTGATACTGGGAAATACATCTGTGCTGCCTACAGCCACGGAGGGACTATTTTTGCCAAGGCATCTTTAACTGTGGAAGGTGAGCAACTTTCTCGACAAGGCCCTCAAGAAAAAAAGAAGGCCCTTGCTGAGTAAGTGAGGGGTGACATGATAGCAGTGTTCCAGTATCTCAGGGGCTGCCCCAAAGAAGAGGGAGTCAAGCTATTCTCCAAAGCACCTGAAGGCAGGACAAGAAGCAACGGGTGGAAACTAATCAAGGAGAGAAGCAACCTAGAACTAAGGAGAAACTTCCTGACAGTGAGAACAATTAACCAGTGGAACAACCTGCCTCCAGAAGTGGTGAATGCTCCAACACTGGAAGTTTTTAAGAAGAGACTGGACAGCTATTTGTCCGAAATGGTATAGGGTTTCCTGCCTGAGCAGGGGTTGGACTAGATGACCTCCAAGGTCCCTTCCAACTTTATTATTATTATTATTATTATTATTATTATTATTATTATTATTATTATTATTATTATTATTATTATTATTATTATTCACAAGCACTTACCAAAATCCACTGTCTTGTTCTTAGGACAACAGCTCCCTATCCCACAACAAGATTATTTTCAGCTACAATAAAAAGCTAACATATTTTTTTCCAGATGAACCACTGAATGATGACTTAACTCTGCAATGAATTCCTCTAGAGCAGGGATACACGGATTATTTAAGGGTGATCTGTTAAAAGCTGAATAATGGGCAGGGGGGAGAGGACAAAGAGCTTTTTACAAGAGTCGGGTGGGTGTGGATGGGGGGCTGAGGTTGTTAAAAGTAGGCAATGGACCATATGAAATTAGATTAAAGGCTTCATGTTGTCCTAAGCTGTCCACTGTCCACTAAAATAAGGCCAGGTCACATCCAAATGCAAGGACACCATTGGTATCGTTGTCCTTCAAGTATCTATGGAGATTCTCAGTCATCCAGGTCATGGCTGTCCCAAAAGTGATTTTTCAAAAAGCAACTGGACTTTCTTTGGGCTTTTTTTCCTTGAAATTTTTTTGCTTCTCACCCCAGAAGCCTCTTCAGTCCTGACTGAGTGGTGGAGAAAGGAAGAATTTATATTCCTTGCAGTTATCTGGTTTGTTAGGCACTTTCTCAACAATTCTCAGAATTGTTTTTTTCTTCAAGGAAAAAACAAAGAAAGTTCAGTTGCCTTTTGAAAAATCACCTTTGGGATGTCCTTCAAGTGTTTTAAAGTTGAGGTTCACATACCATATATATTTTGGGTTTCTTTTCTGGCCTTTAGATCCACTGGATCCCAGGCAGAAGGACTGGAACAGGTCAAAAGATGTTCCAAAGGAGCTGATGGATATCAGAGTTTGTCTGGTAAATGTGACCCTTGTCCCCTCTGCTCCAGCTGCCCATCTGCATTGGAAGGTGAGTTAAGAATAGCAAAGGGTGATAGTTCAAAATCTAGATATTCTTGATGATGAGGAGTTATGATTTAAAATGACTTTAATTAACATACCTGTTTCTATAAATAGAATGGACTTTTAGGTTGGTGGGTACATTTATAAACAATAAAGCAACGGAAGGATCCAGACATGATCAGAGGGTAAGAAATGAGAAACAGAGCAATAGTTCCTAAGAAGAGTTATGTAGCCCAAGGCTGATAAATATAATAAAGAAATAATTTGAAAAAAAAATCAGGATGCAAGAGAGGGAGGGAGGGAGGGAGGGAGGGAGAGAGATGGTCTTGGATTCACAGGAGTCAAATTTCAAAAACAATGAAATTCTTCTTTGGCAGGACAGGAGTCTCCCCAAACAAATATATTATTCATCCACTTCAGAGACCAGTTAGATTCAAAATGGCAACAATAATTCTAATCCTAATTGTGCAAATCCTCACAGCTCTTGCTTGCAATAATTCACTTTATATTCTCAATTTTCCTTTCCTTTTTTTTTCAGGTGTTCTTCATCACCATTTTTTTTTTAATTTCAAAGGGTTTTGAATCATCATATTTCACTGTTTGCATATGGCATTTTTCAGCCAGGTACTATTGTATTGGCTCCATATCAAATTTTAAATTCAGAACTTTGGGTTAACATTCCAAATGTTTCATAATTCAAAACTAGGGTGAAGATTCTGGTTTAGCTCCCATTTTGCTTTCATTTCTTGCTCAGCAGTACCCTCCTTTGTCTGTACAAGCTCCCTTCCCTTCCCTTCCCCTTCCTTCCTTCCTTCCTTCCCTCCCTCCCTCCCTTCCCTCCTTTCCTTCCTTCCTTCTTTCCTTCCTTCCTTCCCTCCTTCCTTCCTTCCTTCCTTCCCTCCCTCCCTCCCTCCCTCCCTCCCTTCCTCCCTCCCTCCCTTCCTTCCTTCCTTCCTTTTATATGGCCACCCAACTCACACATGGTGACTCCAGATGGCTTACAGCATTAAAAAATGTTCTTCTGATCCAGAAGAAATACATATCATCCTAACTATGTGCCTGATTTCTAGGAATTGAAATGTACTCACCAAAGCACATTTCCAAATTACTATATTGCTTGAAGGTTACCCCAACTTCCCAACCCATAGAGGCTTACAAGGTGTTCTATCGTTCTCTGCTGCCCGCGAAAGCACACTGGGCTGAATGGGATGTCCCAAGAGACCAGCAGACGATTATTCCTGGACTTGAAAGAGGTTACAAGTATGAATTCAAGGTGCGACCGTATTGGGGGAAGATCCATGGGATAGACAGCAACGTGAGACAACTGTACATCCCAGAGGAAGGTGCAAAGACTTATCACCATGTTTTGACTGATGTTGTTAATTTAATAGCTTGCAGGGAAAATGTCTTAGTTTAAAAACTGTACTAAATTTTGGAAAGAAATATGAGCCCACCCTTCAAAGCTGTGGGTCCACTCTCTTTCTTTTTCTTCTCATTTTCTTTCTCCTGCTTTGATTTTGTTGTGTTTTTCTTCAGCTGGCCTAGAGTGGGAGGTAGCTGAGCTAGATTTTTTTGGGTCGGTGGGAGGTTATTATTCTTATGGGCACAGATGATCTGAAATTTCTTCACCTTTCTCCCTGGATCTATTGGAGAAGCATTGGGTGGTTGAAGAGACAAGCAGTGTCAGAATAGACATGAAGTGATGGAAGAGTCTCGTGTTTCCAAACAACTTAAGGCATGGGTGGTCTTGCTCCTGCTAAATATTTTCAACTAGTGTCTGAAATGTGCTTCTCCAAAAGGCAACTGGACTTTTTGGTTTCTGTTTTTCCTTGAAAATTCTTCACTTCTCATTCAAGAAGCTTCTTAGATGAGAAGCAAAACACATTCAAGGGGGAAAAACCCAAGAAAGTCCAACTGCCCTTTGGAAAAGCACCTTTGGGGCAACCATGACCTGCATGATTGAGAGTCTCCATACGCTTTCCAACTAATGCTGTCTCTTTCCCGCAGTGCCAAGTGCTGCTCCACAAATCATCAGCATCACTGTATCCAGAGCTGGGAATAGCACTGTGATCATTCACTGGGAACCCCCTCTCCCAGACACCCACAATGGCATTATTAAGGCTTATCAGGTATGGTGTTTAGTTATTGAATACTGAGGAGATGTTGACGAATGGAAGCAACCTCAGAGAAGGATGATGCAAAAGATGTTAAGGAGTGGAGGGTTTGGAATCTTGACCATGAATGTCTTTATAGGAAGGAAAGCAAGATGTGTTGTGTTGTTTTGTTTCTTTTTGCTTTGCTCTGTGCAGTTATACATGGAAAGCAGGCCATATGAGTCTATGACAATTCACTGCGGCCAACTCACTGTAGCCAACTCGTGGCTGTGGGAAGTTAGCCCAGAGAAGGAAATATTAAAAAGGCAGAAAGAAAGATATTGTTCACCAAAAGGATTTTTAAAAGCATTTTTTGAAAAGCAGAAACCAAACCTGGCCTCATCTCTTTGCCCAAAGCAGTAGCTAGTCTTATACAAATGCAGATGTGGAACCATCAGGAAGTTTGGAGCCAGGGATCTCAAGACAAAAGAAGCTCTTAAGAGTCATTAGCCCCATCACCTGGGAAGCAGGATATGATAATGGGATTAAACCACAGATATCAAGGCCTAGAAAAACACTCAGAAATAGCCTCAAAGTTCATGCCACAGGAACAGGAAACTATCCCAAGCAGGGCTGGAGGGGGTATAAAAGCCCTTCTACCCATGTGCTCTCTCTCTTTCTTCTCCTCTGCTCCTTCTTGCAAGGACCATCTTTTTTCTGCAATAAACTGTAACCTTCTTCCCAAAGCAGTCACCATGTTTGCTTATTTATTCCCGGCTTGGATGAACCAGGATGAAGACTTACTTCTAACATGGCCAACTCACCACAGCCAACTCACTGTGGAACAACTTGCCATGGCCAACCCACTGCGGGACAAGAGTTACATTAATATCAAAGAAATAGTGGAATAGAATCATTAAAGAAAGGATGCCAAAGGAGAGACAGAATGAAATGTGAATGACAAAAATTAAAATATTTTTTTATTTATTTTAAATAATTAAATCCAATTGTTAAATTGCCCTGCAGTGAGTTGTCCCACAGCGAGTTGGCTGCTGTGAGTTGACCCATTCTGATAATAACATTCCTTTTTAAGTGTAAAAATTGCTTGTTATTTTAGCTTGGCTAAAATCTATTTGCTAAGCAGGAAAGATCTGATGGTCCTCCAAAAGCTAATGAGCTACAACTCTTTCCTCACCATTTGTCAGACTGGATGGAGCTGCTGGACACTTTGTTTGAGCAGCTTTGGGCCTCCCAGAGATTTAAGGACCATCATTCTTCAGAAAATAACCTGCTTTATGTGATCCGGAAGAGTTACCTTTGTCTCTTGCTTTTTTTCCTCCCCAGATCTGGTTCCTTGGCAATGAAACTCATCCAGGATTTAACAGGACAGTAGATGGAGACGCACATAACCTGGAAACAACAGGACTCCCAAGTGGGCATAAATACTGTGTGAAGGTAGCCGCAGTCAATGGAGCAGGTGTTGGAGTAGCCAGCAATCCTGTATGCGGTACTGCAGGTCAGAACTTGCTATTTTATCATTCTTTGAGACATAGATAACTGCATTTTGGACATTGTCTCCTTGCGCTTTTCTTATTTTATGGTAACATCTACGTAGTAGGGCACCCTTTGAGGGCATCCTTGTAGAGGCCACATTTTAATATTTAAAAATGGCAGATGTGATGCTAATATGAAATGTGCACCTCTTGATGACAGTGGCAGCATTCCAGGGTCATGTGATTTCCAATTGCAATCTTCCTAGCCAGCTTCCGACAAGCAAAGTCAAAGAGGGAAGCCAGATTTATTGGATAATTGCATGATCCGCTCAACAGCTGCCATGATTCGCTTAACAATCATGGCAAAAAGGTTGTACAATTGGGCAGGACTCATTTAACAACTGCCTTGCTTAGCAATGGAAATTACAGCGTTCCATCAAAAAAAGGGGAGCAAAGAAGAGCAATTAAGATGTTTAAGGGCCTGGAGACAAAAACATGTGAAGAACAGTTGCAGAATTTGGGTTTGGCTAGTCTAGAGAAAAGAAGGACTAGGAGTGACATGATAGCAGTATTCCAGTATTTGAGAGGTTGCCACAAGGAGGAGGGGGTCAATTTATTTTCCAAAGCACCAGAAGGCAAGACAAGAAACAATGGATGGAAATTAATCAAGGAGAGAAGCAACCTGGATTTAAGGAGAAGCTTCCTAACAGTGAGGACAATTAACCAGTGGAACAACCTGCCTCCAGAAGTTGTGGGTGCTCCAACACTGGAAGATTTTAAGAAGAGACTAGACAGTCACTTCTCTGAAATGGTATAGGGTCTCCTGCTTGAGCAGGGGGCTGGAGTAAAAGACTTCCAGCTCTATTCTGATTGATTGATCCCCTGAACTTATTTCATTCCAGACCCCATGGTGGAGAAGATGGCAAAGACCGCAGACTTTCTGTCAGCTAACTACCTGCTGGAAATCGTGCGTCAGCCTGTCTTTATTGCCAGCGTTGGTTCGGCACTCTGGGTCATGCTGATGGTGCTGGCGGTTTACGTCTGCCAGCAACAAGCCAGGCAGTTCAGTGGAGGACGACGGTACGCCCTTGGAGAAGGTAAGGGCTCACAGAGGTCAGTCAAAGATTAGCATTTCCGTAGATGCCTTTGGAACCATAGAAGGGAAAAATACCACTTAGAAGTGTTGGAGAATTATCTGTAGTGGAGAGTACAAAGAAAGGATTAAATGTCCCACCAATGCCTGTTATGTTCTGAAATTCCTTGAATAATTACCTCTTTCTGCATAAGAGGTGCCACAGGAGGAAATGTATGGATGGCCTGCAGATAAAATGTTATTTATGCCTGAAAAGGAGGCTTTATTCCAAATAGCAGAGAGCACTGTTGTCAGCCATGACACAAACATCATAAACATACTGTTAATAAGAACACGGGAGCCACAGCATCTTAGTCTACACTTCCTTCTTTTCAGGACTGTACCGGAATGCAAGCGATGACACCATCATCAAACACAGGTAAGGGATAATTGAAATTTTAAGGATTCTGGATGCTTGTTTCCTTCTGAATATTTATTCTTGGGGTCAAATGACAAAAAAAAGTATGATGCTATTAAGAGGGAGGGCTGGAATGAGTTGTGGCTGGTCCTGTTTTTTTGGGAAAAGACAAGGTTCTAAATTTTGTTTTGTTCTGTTTTTGTAAAGTTAAATCAGGGTAAAATTATGAGACTTCTCCCCAATCATGCAACTAGAGAACCTTTGTCATTATCCAATGTAACCTGAGAGTTAAAACAGATGTCATACACTTTTTATATTAGCAGTTTCCTGGACATAAATAAAGAAATATTGCAGACATTTATGGCCAAACTATTGATGAAGATACAGCATTAATTTCAAGACTCATCCTCTTGTCAAACTTCTCCCTGGCAGGCTAGATTAAAAAACAGTTAAACAAATGCACAAGGATCCAGAAACTTCTAAAAAAAGTAGTTTTACTGAAGAAAAGTTAAGAGTCATTATGATAGAATTCCAGCAACTACTGCTTATCAATGTCTGTCCTGCTTACAGTAAAATGATTGTTTAATTGTTGTGTATATTTCTTCTCCCTGCTATTCAACGTGCTGGACAGTAGTCTTTTTGGGAAAGGAAGCCTGGTTTACATCTGTCTCTTATTATGATAACAGGTTGTTCTGATGTTAGGTTATTTTCCTTTGGCCGGGCAAGAAATAACTGTCAAAGCTATCATCCTGAACCATGTAAGTGAAGTTATATGTGTTTTCCCCTCGACTACAGGGTAGACTCCAGTGATTCCCCTTGGCTTTCAAATACATGGAAATCCACATCTGGTTCCAAGAATTATAGTACCAGCAGCAGCCTCAGTAGCCAACTTCTATGGATGGAATCCAAAGACAGCCAAGACCTCCACAAATCTAGTATACATTATTCTTCTTCTTCTTCTTCTTCTTCTTCTTCTTCTTCTTCTTCTTCTTCTTCTTCTTCTTCTTCTTCTTCTTCTTCTTCTTCTTCTTCTTCTTCTTCTTCTTCTTCTTCTTCTTCTTCTTCTTCTTCTTCTTCTTCTTCTTCTTCTTCTTCTTCTTCTTCTTCTTCTTCTTCTTCTTCTTCTTCTTCTTCTTCTTNCATCACCTGGGAAGCAGGATATGATAATGGGATTAAACCACAGATATCAAGGCCTAGAAAAACACTCAGAAATAGCCTCAAAGTTCATGCCACAGGAACAGGAAACTATTCCAAGCAGGGCTGGAGGGGGTATAAAAGCCCTTCTACCCATGTGCTCTCTCTCTTTCTTCTCCTCTGCTCCTTCTTGCAAGGACCATCTGTCTTCTGCAATAAACTGTAACCTTCTTCCCAAAGCAGTCACCATGTTTGCTTATTTATTCCCGGCTTGGATGAACCAGGATGAAGACTTACTTCTAACATGGCCAACTCACCACAGCCAACTCACCGTGGCCAACTCATGGCCAACTTACCACGACCAACTCACCACAGCCAACTCACTGTGGAACAACTTGCCATGGCCAACCCACTGCGGGACAAGAGTACATTAATATCAAAGAAAGGTGGAATAGAATCATTAAAGAAAGGATGTCAAAGGAGAGACAGAATGAAATGTGAATGACAAAAATTAAAATATTTTTTTATTTATTTTAAATAATTAAATCCAATTGTCAAATTGTCCTGCAGTGAGTTGTCCCACAGCGAGTTGGCTGCTGTGAGTTGACCCATTCTGATAATAACATTCCTTTTTAAGTGTAAAATTTGCTTGTTATTTTAGCTTGGCTAAAATTTATTTGCTAAGCAGGAAAGATCTGATGGTCCTCCAAAAGCTAATGAGCTTTCCTCACCATTTGTCAGACTGGATGGAGCTGCTGGACACTTTGTCTGAGCAACTTTTGGCCTCCCAGAGATTTAAGGACCATCATTCTTCAGAAAATAACCTGCTTTATGTGATCTGGAAGAGTTACCTTTGTCTCTTGCCTTTTTTCCTCCCCAGATCTGGTTCCTTGGCAATGAAACTCATCCAGGATTTAACAGAACAGTAGATGGAGACGCACATAACCTGGAAACAACAGGACTCCCAAGTGGGCATAAATACTGTGTGAAGGTAGCTGCAGTCAATGGAGCAGGTGTTGGAGTAGCCAGCAATCCTGTATGCGGTACTGCAGGTCAGAACTTGCTATTTTATCATTCTTTGAGACATAGATAACTGCATTTTGGAGATTGTCTCCTTGCACTTTTTTTTATTTTACGGTAACGTCTACGTAGTAGGGCACCCTTTGAGGGCATCCTTGTAGAGGCCACATTTTAATATTTAAAAATGGCAGATTGATGCTAATATGAAATGTGCCAGCTACAGGTAGCTCTTGACTTACAGCCATTCATTTAGCAACTGTTCAGAGTTACGGCACTGAAAAAATGACTTATAACCTGTCCTTGCACTTACAACTATCGCAACATTCCAGTGGTCACGCTGTCAAATTTCGGGCACTTGGCAACTGGCACCTCTTGATGACAGTGGCAGCATTCCAGGGTCATGTGATTTCCAATTGCAATCTTCCTAGCCAGCTTCCGACAAGCAAAGTCAAAGAGGGAAGCCAGATTTATTGGATAATTGCATGATCCGCTCAACAGCTGCCATGATTCGCTTAACAATCATGGAAAAAAGGTTGTACAATTGGGCAGGACTCATTTAACTACTGCCTTGCTTAGCAATGGAAATTACAGCGTTCCATCAAAAAAAGGGGGGCAAAGAGGAGCAATTAAGATGGAGACAAAAACATGTGAAGAACAGTTGCAGAATTTGGGTTTGGCTAGTCTAGAGAAAAGAAGGACTAGGAGTGACATGATAGCGGTATTCCAGTATTTGAGAGGTTGCCACAAGGAGGAGGGGGTCAATTTGTTTTCCAAAGTGCCTGAAGGCAGGACAAGAAGCAATGGATGGAAACTAATCAAGGAGAGAAGCAACCTAGAACTAAGAAGAAACTTCCTGACAGTTAGAACAATTAACCAGTGGAACAACCTGCCTCCAGAAGTTGTGGGTGCTCCAACACTGGAAGATTTTAAGAAGAGACTAGACAGTCACTTCTCTGAAATGGTATAGGGTTTCCTGCTTGAGCAGGGGGCTGGAGTAAAAGACTTCCAGCTCTATTCTGATTGATTGATCCCCTGAACTTATTTCATTCCAGACCCCATGGTGGAGAAGATGGCAAAGACCGCAGACTTTCTGTCAGCTAACTACCTGCTGGAAGTCGTGCGTCAGCCTGTCTTTATTGCCAGCGTTGGTTCGGCACTCTGGGTCATGCTGATGGTGCTGGCGGTTTACGTCTGCCAGCAACAAGCCAGGCAGTTCAGTGGAGGACGACGGTACGCCCTTGGAGAAGGTAAGGGAGGCTGCCTTTGGCTGTGTTCAGACAACACAGTCAGTGCTCACAAAGGTCAGTCAAAGATTAGCATTTCCGTAGATGCCTTTGGAACCATAGAAGGGAAAAATGCCACTTAGAAGTGTTGGAGAATTATCTGCAGTGGAGAGTACAAAGAAACGATTAAATGTCCCACCAATGCCTGTTGTGTTCTGAAATTCCTTGAATAATTACCTCTTTCTGCATAAGAGGTGCCACAGGAGGAAATGTATGGATGGCCTGCAGATAAAATGTTATTTATGCCTGAAAAGGAGGCTTTATTCCAAATAGCAGAGAGCACTGTTGTCAACCATGACACAAACATCATAAACATACTGTTAATAAGAACACGGGAGCCACAGCATCTTAGTCTACACTTCCTTCTTTTCAGGACTGTACCGGAATGCAAGCGATGACACCATCATCAAACACAGGTAAGGGATAGTTGAAATTTTAAGGATTCTGGATGCTTGTTTCCTTCTGAATATTTATTCTTGGGGTCAAATGACAAAAAAAAAGTATGATGCTATTAAGAGGGAGGGCTGGAATGAGTTGTGGCTGGTCCTGTTTTTTGGGAAAAGACAAGGTTCTAAATTTTGTTTTGTTCTGTTTTTGTAAAGTTAAATCAGGGTAAAATTATGAGACCTCTCCCCAATCATGCAACTAGAGAACCTTTGTCATTATCCAATGTAATCTGAGAGTTAAAACAGATGTCATACACTTTTTAGCAGTTTCCTGGGCATAAATAAAGAAATATTGCAGACATTTATGGCCAAACTATTGATGAAGATACAGCATTTAATTTCATGACTCATCCTCTTGTCAAACTTCTCCCTGGCAGGCTAGATTAAAAAACAGTTAAACAAATGCACAAGAATCCAGAAACTTCTAAAAAAAGTAGTTTTACTGAAGAAAAGTTAAGAGCCATTATGATAGAATTCCAGCAATTACTGTGTATATTTCTTCTCCCTGCTATTCAACGTGCTGGACAGTAGTCTTTTTGGGAAAGGAAGCCTGGTTTACATCTGTCTCTTATTATGATAACAGGTTGTTCTGATGTTAGGTTATTTTCCTTTGGCCGGGCAAGAAATAACTGTCAGAGCTATCATCCTGAACCATGTAAGTGAAGTTATATGTGTTTTCCCCTCGACTACAGGGTAGACTCCAGTGATTCCCCTTGGCTTTCAAATACATGGAAATCCACATCTGGTTCCAAGAATTATAGTACCAGCAGCAGCCTCAGTAGCCAACTTCTATGGATGGAATCCAAAGACAGCCAAGAACTCCACAAATCTAGTATACATTTTTTCTTTCTTTCTTTCTTTCTTTCTTTCTTTCTTTCTTTCTTTCTTTCTTTCTTTCTTTCTTTCTTTCTTTCTTTCTTTCCTTCTTCTTCTTCTTCTTCTTCTTCTTCTTCTTCTTCTTCTTCTTCTTCTTCTTCTTCTTCTTCTTCTTCTTCTTCTTCTTCTTCTTCTTCTTCATTCCATGTTGAAAGTCTTGTTTCTATCTTTATTATATTGCCCTCTTTTAATTAAGCTTGTGGGGTAGTTATGGAGGTCCAGATAAAATCAAAGAATGTGCATACAAAATTCAAGAACAGCAGCATAAGCCAGTAACAGATTTAGTATGCAAGGCAATTACCTTTTATATTACTTGGGTAATTCTTTTATACAACACTCCATGCAAAAGTTGTCCTAGAATCTAGAATAGGGCTGGGGGGCTAAACCTTGCAGAAAGTCTGGGCTTCTCCCCAGCATGCTCCCCTTATGGGCTGGATGCTGTCCAAGGTGTAGGAAAAGCCTCTTCCTCTGTTTGTTCTTGCATAATCCCTCAAAGTGGAGATCCTTTCTCCAAAAAGGAGATGGAAGAGGTGGAACATGGGCATTCTGTGACTCTTTTTGCACCAGCACCTTCCTATAAAAATGAATGAATTGATATATGGTTTTCAAGAAAATAAATAATATTATAATATTTACATGCAGCAAATATATTTAATGGTCTCCTCCTCCTCCTCCTCCTCCTCCTCCTCCTCCTCCTGTTATCTTGCTCAAGTTGTTGTAGTGTGTCTTTGATGTTGTCTCTTCATCTTCTTCTGGGTCTACCCTGCATTCTTTGACCTTCTCCTCATTTTTGTAAATGCCTTGTGCAATATGGATTGGTCCTTATCAATTCTGCCAATTAGTTGTTCGCTAATGTAGGGATTTGACTGCAAAGTCAGAAAATCACATGCATCTCTTTTTGCCTTGTGTGTCTTCATCCCCACAGCGGTGTCCTTTGATAGGCAGAGTCAAGGGTCACGAATCCAGACTGTTCCTTTGGTGCCTGATAGCAGCAACAGTAGCCCATATGGAGCTTTCCGCGTGAACCTTCCAGCAAAAGATCTCAAGACCTTCTACACTTCTCTGCCATACCTTTCCAACCCCAACCTACAAAGTATGGCGTTAACACAAGCTGGTGAGCTCATGTCTCACGGAAGTCAGAACCTGAGGACTGATCGTGCCAGTGGCCAAGGAAGAACTCAACAAGGGCCATGGAAGGCAGCTGGTTCTCTCTCCCCAAATCGTAGCATCAGAGGACCCTGGGCCAAATATGACAAAAAGGGTAAGGCAAAGCCCATTCCCCAAATAACTGACACATCTTAAGCAGTCTCTGGCTATTGATAAATCACTAGCAAAAGCTTCCTTGAAAGAAATCAAAACTGGTATCTATCACCACTTCCATCCACCTAATGATGGGATCAATATACCAATTTTGCAAATGAATAAACATTTTTCTAAAATAGCAGTCCAAATCTTGCCAGTTCAGATTCAGTTGATGATCCCAGATTCTGAAACATATCTCTATCCATCTTTTCACGTATGTAGGATTTTATATATGGTTAATGTCATTTTTAGCCTAAAGACTTAATGCTACAGTATTTCCTCATAGAATATCTGCTGTAGCCCCAAATAAACTTTAATGTCTTTTTCTGTACCCTGTCAAGCTCTACAATATCCTTTTTGAGGTGTTAATGATCAGAAATGTCATTCCAGCTACAATCTCATCACAGTAAAAAGATGTTGAGACTCTAGAAAGAGTACAGCGAAGAGCAAGAAAGATGATTAGGGAACTGGAGGCTAAAACATATAAGGGATGGAATTGGGTATGTCTAGTTTAAGGAAGAGAAGGATGAGGGGGGACATGATAGCAGTGTTCCAATATCTCAGGGGCTGCCACAAAGAAGAGAGAATGAAGCTCTTCTCCAAAGCGCCTGAAGGCAGGACAAGAAGCAACGGATGGAAACTAATCAAGGAGAGAAGCAACCTAGAACTAAAGAGAAACTTCCTGACAGTTAGAACAATTAACCAGTGGAACAACCTGCCTCCAGAAGCGGTGAATGCTCCAACACTGGAAGTTTTTAAGAAGAGACTGGACAACCATTTGTCTGAAATGGTATAGGGTTTCCTGCCTGAGCAGGGGGTTGGACTAGGTGACCTCCAAGGTCCCTTCCAACTTATTATTATTATTATTATTATTGAAGGCCATTGCTATGTTAGTTCTCAGTTCAATTTCCTTCCTAGAATGAAATGTGCCTGTTGTTTTTCCCACTAAGGCTATGCATTGGACTGTCATCTGCATTTACTTCTACACCATAGCTCCAATATCCCTTTTGTGGCCAATCACTGTTGCCATCTTAGATTCCATTAGTATGCATCTGAAATTGAGGGGTTTTTTTTTTAATCAAATGTGCGTGACTTTACATTGCGTTGAACTAATCAGCCATTCTCCATCCCCTTGGGAGCTGTTTGCACTCTTTCCCTTCTCTTTTACTGCCCCAAATAAGTTGCTATCATCTGCAACTTAATTACTTCAGCTGCTCAGCTCCAAATAAGTGAAAAAGCTTTGGTGCCAATGCAGATCTTTGTGGAAGGGATGCCCGTACACTATGCATCTCTCCATTGGGGAAATGAAATCCTTATTACCTGCTTCCTGTCCTTTCACTTCTCGAGCCAGTTAGGAGTCTGCGAGAAGTCTCGTTCAACTCAAAAAGTCAGGGGTGCTTTCACTGATGGTTGCCTTCACCCACAAGATCATGAAAGGAAGAAGGGCACCGGTCTAAATGTCAATCGGATTCCTGCAGGTAGCCAGGAGATGGGAAAACCCCCGACTCCCCTTGGCTGTTGTATCTCTCCCCCTTGCTTCCTCTTTGCAAGGGGGCCTAATTGAATTATCTCCAAAGTTCAGGTACAGATTTAATGCCATGGCTTTTGTGGAATGTAATAGAAAGCCTCATTTGCTTGCTGCAGCTACTAATTGCCAGGAGCGATGCAGAGCGAAGCGTCGCCTCTGTTAAGGACACAGCAAGGGCTGAGTCCCTCGGAAATTAACTTGGCAGCTCAAAGAGCATCTCTATCTGGGGAGCCTGTTACAGCTTTGGCTTTCATGGTCATCTCTACCATGTCAGAGCCTTCAAGGGAGTAAGATTTGTGCATGTGTAGGACCCATAAAGGTATATGCCTACTCGGGAACATGCATTTATTGACATGATTGCATAGAAATGACACCCCCCCCCTATTTCTTTTGCTCAGAAGCTCCATAGTCCTTTGGTGGGGCCTTGAAATGCATACCATCTGACATTTGGCTGTTTGTAAGGGCTGGCTAGACTGTGCCCATCTATTACATTTCATTGAAGGCTTTTTCACCTCGTTGTGGACCATATGCAATTTGACCGAAGTAACTCATGCTCCTCTCACTGGAAAGTGCTGACTGTCAACAGGTGTGGATCTCAACTCTTCAGTTTCGTAGGCAGCAGTTTCCTCTGACCCATCAGATTTAGGACTTGGAGTATCTTCCTGGACAAGTAATAACTTCAGTATCTGGATCATCCTAGGTTGATCATTGTAACAGCATGAATTCAGGTTGATCTGACAAGCACATACTCTAATAAACATCCCTTTCTCTTTCAGAGCTGCAACAGGTGCACAGCACACCCATGTCCCCATCGGGATTCTCAGCAGATTGGAGCAACGCTAGTAGCCCAAGAAGTGTTGTTAGTTCTGGAAAGCATCCAAGAGTCCATGGTAGGAGAAGAAACTTTTGCTTCACGGTTTGGGGCAAAGACCCAATCAGTTGTAAACATTTTGTTAGACTGGAATCCACTATTTGATTTCTAAGACATTGTCATGACTTGTTTGAACTGATCTCGGTAAGATAGAAGGCTAGGCAGAGTCCTCTTCAAGTATTATATATAGCAATAGCAATAGCACTTAGACTTATATACCGCTTCACAGTGCTTTAGAATCCGCTCTAAGTGATTTACAGAGTCAGCGTGTTGCCCCCAACAATCTGGGTCCACATTTTACCGACCTCGTAAGGATGGAAGGCTGAATCAACCTTGAGCTGGTCAGGATCGAACTGCTGGAGTGAGCAGTGAGTTAGCCTGCAATACTGCATTCTAACCACTGCGCCACCATGGCTCATTCTTCTCATATATGGGAAGAAGTAACATGAATATGGTGGGGACTGAGGACAATGCATTTAATGTGGTCCTTGGCTCATGTGTTTGCCCTCTGCTGCTTAAGGACATAATCAGGTATAATAGGTACTTAGTTCTTCTAGGTGAGATCTCTTTAAACACTTAGATCCCGACAGATGTAAGCTTGGCTTTGTCATGCCGAGTTTCTGCCACCTTTGTGTTCACATGCAATTACTTATCCCCTTTCGGTCCCCTATTCCTCCCTTTCCATCTGCTGAGAGAATGGGCACCTTTTTAATCTCACAAGCCTAGATATGGAGGCAAATAGGGGAGAAAGGGAGCAGTTAGTATTTCAGAAAGCAATTTGCTCAAAGAGGAAGTTTGACATGCCCCTTAATATGGTCTTTAATATTTCATTTTCACCTACGCCTTCTGGAAAAAAAATGGAAGGAAATTCGCATTCCAGATGCAAGCTTCTTATTGGGGAAAGATTACTTTTCACCTCTTGTCAGAGAGAAGCTGCTCAGAGAGAAGGCCAGGGCAATGAACCCCGTTTCTGATTGGTGCAACAGAACCACTAGCCTAGGTTTTAGTCAGGGAACCAAAAGGCAAACTGAAAACCAAACTGTCTTTCCAAATGTTTCCCCTAAATTTGGTGGTATGGTTTTCCAGCTTAAAAGATGGCTTAGAAAAACTCTTGAGATTGACTGCAAGATGATGTACCACAATCTACATGTTATAACAGTTAACTTTATTTCTAAGTTGCCCATTGTTAACTGATGTTGGTTTTAACAACATGGAAGAATGCTTTGTTCTAGAAAATTGGGGTGCGTAGTGTAGGTATGTGCATGAGTATGGGATAAGAAAATGAATGTATGCATGATAGAACCAGCTTGGTCTAGTGCAGGAGTAGGCAACCTTGGCTCTTTTATGACTCGTGGACTTCAACTCCCAGAATTCCTGAGCCAGCATGGCTCAGCTTGGAAACCTCTCCCTTTCCCCTCAGCATGGCTGGCTCAGGAATTCTGGGAGTTGAAGTCCACGAGTCATAAAAGAGCCAAGGTTGCCTACCCCTGGGTGGTTAAGACATCAGGCTAAAAACAGGGAGACCATAAATTTTAGTTCCATGAAAGCCAGCTGGATGATCTTGGGCCAATTACCAGGAGACTGTGAATTCTAGCCCTGCCTTAGGCATGAAAGTCGGCTGGGTAACTCTGACCCAATCACCAGGAGACTGTGAATTCTAGTCCAACTTTAGCCATGAAAACCAGCTGGGTGACCTTGGGCCAATCACCAGGAGACAGTGAGTTCTAGTCCTGCCTTAGCCACAAAAGCTGGTTGGGTGACCTTGGCTCAGTCATTCTCTCTCTCTCAGGCCAACTCACCTCACAGGCTTATTGTGGGGAAAATAGGAGGAAGACGGAGTGTTCAATATATTCTCCGTCTTAAGTTGTTTATTAAAAAAACACAATAAAGGTAGGATTAAAAAAAATAACCATTTTAAAATGCAACTTTAAAAAATCCCTTCGCAGATGTAAACATGAGACAAACCAAGTTTAAGTGGGAAAAATAAAAAAAAATGGTAAGAAAAGTCATATTTGGCATACTTCTAATTTTTCCTACTGTCACCCGTGGCTTTAGTGCTTTGCAACCTGATTTAAAATTCTGAAAAGCTCTGCAAAGCTGTTGGCTAGTTCAAGTAAAGATATGGCGGTGGGATTGGTTTGGCAGATTTTTAAAATAATGCCATCTCATTTCTTGTTTTTGTAAGCATTCTTCTTACGGGGTGCCCTTCTAAGCTGATTCTCTCTCTCTACATTCCAGCAGAGAGCAGCAGAGCATCACTGGATATTCAATGAAAGCTCAGCTTTTCACCCAAATTAATTTTTTCTTTCTTTCTTTCTTTCTTTCTTTCTTTCTTTCTTTCTTTCTTTCTTTCTTTCTTTCTTTCTCTTTCTTTCTTTCTTTTTTTCTTTCTTTCCTTTCTTCCTTTCTTTTTCTTTCTTTCTTTCTTTCTTTCTTTCTTTTAAATAGAAGGGTTGTCTTAGATTCAACTGGAAATATTTTAACAGAAAAGGATGACAGGACTTTTTTTTCTCTTTAATGCTTCTTTTGGAGAGGCAGGAGAGAAAAATTATTTTAAACTCAGGCTCATCAAATGTTTTTTTATTCATTCTGGTACCCTGGATGCTTTATTACCACATCTCCATGTGATTTTGCCTGTAGAGAAGCCGCTTTTTCTATTAATCATCTTCAATAAACGCTGAAAACCAAAGTTGAGCATTGCAGTGAAAAAATTAAGGACAGGAGAACTAATTTCTGCGGTGCCTTGCTTCCTTCCTGATGCCCTAAGCATGTGTTTACTTTGCTTAATGGTTAATTCAGGATTGCTCAGGCAACCATTTCCCCCCACCCCCCTGAATCTTTGACAGCATGTGGGAGAGGATATGAAAGCAGTTTCTATTTCTTTACCTCATTCTCAGATTGTTTTTGTGCTACTTTAATTGTTGCAAGGTGATCAAGGACTTCCATCCATCCATCCATCCACCTATTGCCTCCCTTGCTGCCTTCTGCTACCTGACTAGAAAAAGTCTCCAAGAAAGATGCTCATTTAAGGAAAGTGTAAAAAATCAAGATGACTGAAGAATGCGAGGTAGTTAACTGTACAGGACATCTACCTATATCCCTCAAGAAGTTCATAAACAAGTGCCAAGTGATTTGTAGGCCATTCATGATATTCAGTTCTCCAGATGTTGGATGGATGGATGGACGGATGGATGGAAGGAAGAAAGAAAGAAAGGAAGGAAGAAAGAAAGAAAGAAAGGAAGAAAGGAAAGAGGGAGGGAGGGAGGGAGGGAGGGAGGAAGGAAGGAAGGAAGGAAGGAAGGAAGGAAGGCTTTCCTTTACTACCTACACCAAAAGAAAATGACCAGGAAGCAAAAAATCCATGGGATTGTTCAACATATCTAAATGCAAAGCTTGTATGCTCCGAAAAAACCAAGGTTTCTTCCATTTTAATGTTTGTTGAACTCTGGTGTTTAAATACTGGCCCGATTCTCAATAGTTCAGCTTTAAAGAGCTCTAAAACTGAAGGTAAGACTATTAGGTACTATTTGAACAGTGTGTTTATATAGTCTGCTCTGGTCTAAATATATGCAACTCCTTGTATACTTCTGTGCTTTGCTGCCATTGCTTCATTATGGGATTCTCATTGCCAGATGAGCCTTGAGCCGAGAAGCTGACTCTCCAACCAAGAGGCCACTCGGAAGCCCTTTCAAATGCTTAATGAGGCACCGGCATTACTGCTGATGAGGACTTTCCTTGTAATTTATGTGCAAGGCCTCCATCACATCTTTCCCAAGTATCCTGTGCCCATAGATCCTTCTCAGTTATTCATGAAGTTGTGTCTATGATGAGCAGCCGATCTGGCCAAGTTGGATATTCTGGGAGAAAGGATTGGATGGTGTGATTCCCAAAAGGGCTTTACAAATAGTTGTAAATAGCTGGTTTGTATTGTGTGTGCTCTTAAAGTGCTCAAATGCCCCGATGAAAGACCAGTTTCTATTTGCAGGATAACCAAGCAATAAAGCTGCCCTTGCAATTTACTCTTTCAGGTTGCAGGCAGTGTGGTACAATGGTTAAGTTGCTGGAGTGGGAGTAGGAGACCCAGTTCTAATCCCACCTTAGGCACGGGAGCCAACTGGGTGACTTTGGGCTAGTCACTCTCTCCCAGCCATACACTGGAAAGTGGATATACCTGTTTGTCCGCCCGTCCGTCCGTCCGTCCGTCCGTCCGTCCATCCATCCATCCATCCATCCATCCATCCATCCATCCATCCATCCATGAAGAAGACAATGACAAATCCAAATTATGTTTAAGATGCATTTAAGGGTAAGATCCAAAGAGTCCATCAGGATAATGATATGAGAAAGTGAGTGGTTCCTAATTCAACAAAAATACTAGAATCTTCAGAGTTTTGTTGAAAAGCTAAAACAAAGCTGGCGAACCCTCCCCAGATGCACCTTAGGGCCATTATAAAAAGGGTGACCCACTCTTTTACTGACCCACCAATGTAAGGGGCAGATTAAAAAGGTCTCTGTTGATGAGTTCCAAGGGCAGCCAGCAAGAGAGGAAAGTGCTTCTTTGAGTAACCTGGTGCCAAATCAAAAGCCCAGCCAGAAGCAGCAGAGTGGACCAAATCATTGCTCTAATACTAGTTGCCTGCCTACACACGCCATTTAACATATTTCATATTTTATTTCCTTCTGCTGATAAGCAAGCTAAGGAAATGTCTCGGGCTTGTATTCACAAATGTATTTCCTTAGAAGATGACTATTTTTTTTCCTTGGGAAAGAACACTCAAGAGGGCAAGAGGGTAGAATCCATAGTTTGGGAAGGACACTGGAAAAGATCTTCTTCTGCATTATCTTCAGTAGATGATACGAATTATCTTGGGGCTGAGAGGACACCATCACCATCTGCATATGTAAATGGCCAGTCAGGTTC